TGGACGGCCACTCTAGCAGGTACTCTCGTCACGTCCCATGAACTCCAAGGATGACGAATATCTCGCATGTCGTTCCCAGCCATTGTCACTACCGTCCCGGTAGGCAATGAGCTAACAAGTGGTGTAACAACCACCAAATCAACGCGCAAACGGCGTTGCTCGGCCAAGCCCAAGATCACAATCCATGTCAAGCAGTTCAGGTCCATAGCATGACCCAAAACCTGACGACGCGACGCCTCTGAAATTGAAGAATCCGCGGTCACACTTGTCATAAATCCCATCGCACGCTCTCTCTCTCATCGGCGTTGGGCTCCACCAAGTGATGTAAAGTACTGTCCCACAGTAGTCTAGGTCCACCATCACGATATGCATGTGATGCCGGATAACTGTCTAACGTAGGTAAAGCCATCCGAGGTTCACCAACGCCATAGGTGACTTGTCAGCAACTCTCACCACTTGAGAGTATCAAGAGACATCCAAGATCCTGTCAACGGTGAGTGTAGGATCACAATGCACAGAATCATACGCATGACGCAATATCTCTCGTGGCAAAAGGTTGGTCCACCATAAACGTGCACGATGAGCACGTGATCCAACCCTCACAGCATCCAACAACACGGCAAATCCAATCCATGCACTGACCTCATGGACACTCGCCATCAATTGAGCCCGAGTGTCACCCAACAATGGTACGTTCTCTAGAATGTATGCTGGGGAACGTGTCTGCTGTTCTTGGAGATGACGTAACACTCGTAGCATCTCCCAAAACATCCGAGATCTTGGGTCATGCAACCCTGCTCCATGCCCAACGCGTGTGTGCCCCTTACATGGCCATCCCGCAATCATCAAATCAATATGTCCAATTCGATCAAGGTCTAGCGCCCCCAACAATGAAATGTCTTAAGGCAACGCCTTCTTGTATCCTCCAACAGCTTATCGCGGCAACAACAAAGGAAAACGCTGCATCAATTGTGTAACATGTCGTGAAGAAACTCGACGTGCAGTCTCGTCCTTCTCCACGTACAAGTATCTACGTTCAAGAATACCTGACTGCAACCAAAACCGTGCTGATTCCCCCTAAAAAAATCCAGCAAACAAACACCTTATGGGGAATACTTCCATACGATAGGTGTAGTAACTAATGGTGATAGCGTGCTAGGACCACATACTAGCCGATCCTCTGAAGCCCCCTCTGCCTCTGCTAGTAAAGAGGCCTCACTCCAAGCTCTCTTCACCAACCTATCCGCCTCATGTTGTAATGCATGGCAAGAACTCCAAAGTGGAACATCCAAAGATGAAGACATCACCGCTGGGAAGCTCACAACCTCCTCCACATCCTCATAGATTGGGGTATCGTTGGTTGACCTATTCCACTCCAACAAGTCATCGGGCCATGTAAGCACTCCGCTAAAACCCGCAACGGATGCCAAGACCGCGGAAGACGATCCAAGAGGTCGAGCTCCTGAAATAAATCTCACAGTCAGCTCGCTCATACGTCCATCGCCGGACTGCCAGCCAGGGCGATAAGTAGCAGTCTCCTTCCAATAATCCATCCAAAATCCCATCGGATATAACATAACTTTACCAACAAGCACATCATATGACTCTGTTGATGTAACCACCGCCCGAACTCCAAACTGCGAGCTATCTTGAGCATGATCATGCCTCAACTGCACTGATATGCGCTCTTTGGTCATCATGTAAGACATATCGCTGGTGCCACCGAGTGATGTTTGAATCTGGAACGGACAAGGCTCCAACTCGGACCTCCAAACTCCCAAACTAATGCAGGCTGTCTTGCCTAACATCAAGGGTTGTGCATCAGATTCCAGCAACATTCTGGCTGGGACATACACATGCCCTGCAGCACTCACCAAGCGAAATACACCATTCCAGTTGTCCACCATACACACACCAAGGACAACCCTCTCACGATCAATGGCTGGTCGGGTTGGTAAGAACTCCATCCGCGCCGCTGCCGCCTGCCATGTCGACTCATCGCTCAATGTAGTTGTAGAGGATAGCTCCTCAACAATAGCCTCGCCTATCTCGACACTCGTAGCAATGGCACTCCCACGTTCACACGACGTGGCTGCTAAACGAAACACCCGAGCCAAGTCAATCCAAGAGTCTATCAGCTCCGTAGCTAAAAATAGTGGAGATCTCATCACTGAGCTAGCCATCCGCGTCACTGCACTAGATGGTTTGTATGTGTCCACAACACGTGACGTAGATGTCTCAGTCCTTTCACTAAGGTCACTAGATGGTACAGGTCTCATGGATGAAGTCCTACCCACCTCTGACAACAAAAACGACTGGGGAAGTCTGGCATGACGCCCACCCTCACCCCTCTACGGGTCCAACTTCCCTGTTGCCCCACATGGCTCTAGAGCTCGAGCTGCACCTCTAGTCACTGCAACTGATGCTTCCACCTGTGCTGAACTCGCTAAATAAGGGAAACCCTCTCCCTCGTGAAATGTGGACGTGCTCGCTCCAATACCCGCCATAGCAGCAAGCCTCTGCTCCAACTGCTCAATCCGGGCCGCCATAGCACTCTTTGTGGCTGACGTAGCACTCGCTACAGGGCGTCCAACTGCACCGGCACCTCTACCACCTCGGCCACCTCTGCCTCGTGGAGCATCACCACCACGACCTCTACCACCAGATGTCAACTCTGGATGAAGGTCAAAACACCGATCTCGAGTATGACCTGCTCAATCACAGTGGTCACACACCACCTATGCTGACTGGGGTCTGGCATGTGAACTCCGACCTACGGCCTCATGGGGACAATCTCTCCGTAGATGATCTTCTCCACATGTCCAACATGTTGGTCCATGCTGCTGACCAGCAAACGATGGCACTAGTGCACATGCTCCTGTATCTCTAGCGTCCGTCTGATGTCTGCGCTCCGCGATCCCCACCCATACCACCACCAAAGGGTCTAGACTATACCGTGCTCTAGGGACACGAGGGGTAGTGGTCGTGTCTCTAGCGAATGAAGATGTCACCACTTTCTCCTCCACTATGTTAAGCTCAATCTTCTCAGAAAGAGCAAACACATAGGCCAATGTCGGTGACGCAAGAGGGTAGCATCTCAAACCCTCAGCCATAGCTCTCTGTCCAGTATCATGTACCAAAACTGTACCGCCTGTGCCTCAGTTACATGGTGAGTAACTGAGATCAACCGCCGCATACGAGTGTATGCCTCCCGAAGACTCTCACCAGTCTTCCACTCAAACTCCTGGAGACTGCTCAACTTCTCCGTCCTCACCTCATGATAGTTCTTCCTCAACCTCTTGAAGAACTCAGGAATGGGGCTGAACGAAGGTACGCCAGTAGCCTCTCCACTCGTGCTGGTACTGGCAACGCTAACAGCACCGTTGCTGGTACCTGCCCCAGCTACTCCACTTGTATCCTCGATGATGCTACCACTCGCATCTTCCCTTGTACCAACATCACCCTGTGTAATAGACATGTAGTTTGGAGACCAATGACGCCTTCATGCGTCTATCTCCACAACATACTCTCTTACAAACTCATGAAAGTCATCCATGGAAGGCCCCTCTAGATGCTGAAACAACCCCTTCCATGCAAAGAAGGGTGTAAACAACGTGGGATTACGCAAGAACTGCATATCGCACCACGTGTCAAACTCCTAGATGAAATCATCCAACTCAATGGTGCCCATTGCACCAAAGTATAGCCGTGGGTCCTTCATGGCCCCGTACATCTCGTCCATGTCCCCAGTCAACGAGTGTGAGACACTAGATAATATCACCACCAAAGGTCCGCTATCTGCCACACTCCGCGCCTCTACAACCACTGCTGCGCTAGGATGAGGTAGCCGATACCTCAACCCACTCCGCGTAAATCCTCCACTGTCCTCAAAAAAACCATCAAAATCCTCCGTGATGACTAACTCACCAACCGGCAACACTGCCACAACTCCACCTACCCTCGTCCCTGCACTATCCTGTCATGTAGTTACGAGTCGGCTCATGCAGTTTAGTCACTTACTATCTTTAGAGGTGAAGTTAGGGTTCGGTCACGAGGGGTATAGAGTCGGGGACGGCTCGAAGAACGTTAGTTCTTCGAGTCGAGCCTGGAAGCGTTGGGAGCGTAGAGTGACTTTCCCCTTTGCGTCGACCTGGATTCTCCGAGTGTGGAGTGGGTTGGGCTTGACTCATGTTTGTGACGGTGACGGTTTGTTGCCAGTAGGGTAATTGATCGACGGGAATTCAAGTGGGGAATCTCCCGTTGATTTCACTCGAAGAACTCGTTTCTCGTCGGAGGTCGCACGAAGCCGACGAAGTTGATGAGGGTTTTTTTCAAAGATTTTGTTCATTGGAACCTGTAGTTTGGTGACAGTTTTAAGGTTTGCAGTCAGAGTGCGAGTTTACATTTGAAGACGTCGCCGTTGTTATTGTCGTCGGCGGCCGCAGTGTTTGCTTTGGTTTTCGTCTCCTCCTTTTTGGTCATCTCCGGGTTTGTGTGCGATGTGATTGTCGAGCCGCCAGACATCGGGAGCAGACAATATCTGATCACAGGAGGGATCCGGCCGGTGGTGTTTTTGCAAGAAGGCGCGGATGCATAAGAGCTCGGGAGTGGACGGCGGGATGGCCCACTCCTCACAAATCCCGTATGCGAAATTGGATTCGACCGGATTCTCGATGGGGTTTCGACGATCATTCGTTCGTCTGTTTTGATGGATAATGGCCTGATGATTGTGTCGGAATCTGTAGGATTTTGAAATTCCCGATTTGGTGGAGGAATGCGCTACTTTCTTCGAGTTTCATCTCGTCTCTGCAAGCTTTCTCCGTGCGCAGAACCTCCGGCACTCGTCGAATTCGCTTGTCCAATTCCGCGCTTCGACGCTCTAATTGTCTCTTCAGAGGTCCCAGGACGCGGCGCCTTCATCCTCGAGCTCCTTCATCCACATCAGTACCTGTTGGCGATTTCCTCTTTGATCTTATAGTAGGTAGCTCTTTGCGCGGTAGTCGGGGGTCGTGCAAGAACTTAGGTCAAGGGACGTCAGAGAAGAGCTGCGAGAGCCGAGAATGAATGTATGTCTTCTGAATGGTGCAGCAAAATTGCCGGACATCGGCCGCGCAGACACAGAAATCGGCCTGTTGAAAAAGTTCCCCATCTGAGAGCTACTTGAGCAGGGCTCTTTCCGTACTTGGCGCCAATTTCTTTCAAAACGGGATCGTCGATGGCTGAAACAGAGTTGAACCACTCAGTGTTTGCAGAACCACCACCAAGAGGGGTATGAGCAGTGACTGCAATGCCGTGCTTCCGGCAAAACTTCACGAGGTCGCCTCTTTGGAAGTAAGGGTGAGTTTCAATCTGGTTAACTGCATGCTTGATCTTAGAGTAAGCCAAGCAGTCTCTTGTCAAAAAAATGTCGTAATTGCTGATACCAATACTGCGCACAAGACCTGCATCAACTAGTTCCTCCATATGGTGCCATACTGTTTCTAGAGAAACGGTGACATTAATGTCTAACACACCATCTTCTCCGGTTGGGCTGTCGGTCTTTCCCACACCAGTATGACGGATCGCTACAGGGAAGTGAATCAAGTACAGGTCTAGGTACTCTAACTGCAGATTCTTCAGGCTGTCTTCACAAGCAGCTCGGACATGCTTGTGATCGGAGTTCCAGAGCTTGGTGGTGATGAATACGTCTTCACGTTTCACCATACCCTTGCGGATCGCTTTGGCAAGCCCAGCTCCAACCTCCTTCTCGTTTTTATAATCAGCGGCACAGTCAAAATGACGGTATCCCAGTTTCACGGCCTCCACTACTAAATTTTGGACGCTCGACCCGGCGCGCCATACTCCCATATCAACAACGGGCATTTCATACCCGCTGCTCAACTTTATGTTGTTCTGTACCATCTTGACTGACTAAGGTGCTTAGAACGCTCGCTGTAAACAAGGAAGTGAAGGATTCTGGCGGTCTGCTCTGTCCCAACGCCTGCGGAGCTCGCAAAGAGACAACTGCCCCTTCCTGTGATTGACTTATCGACTTTTCCCATTTCGTGGCATCGCAAGAGTTCCTTCAGTATTTTTGATTATCTCAAGCCAGCTCTTTGAGTCGGGAGGTAGTAAACAAAGAAGGACTGTTAGAGGACGTGAAGAAATTTTTAGAGAGAGGAAGGATGAAGAGGGACGAAGGTTCCTGATCGCAGTCACCTCTGAGATAATTTTCAAGATCTCGAATGTGCAGCGTATTCTGTAGCCATATAGGTCCGTGAATAGGTTAGAAGGGTTGACAAAGAAATATACTGAAATAGAAGGTTATTATTTTTGCGTTTTCTGAGGTTAAAGAAAAGTGCAAGACTTTTCAGTACCCGGGAAGACTTTATTAGAGTTGCTTGTTGATGGAATTCATAGTTTAACTACTCAAGTTGGACGGGAGAAAAAGTCCGAGTTTGAACCTACAGGTTCAGATTGTACAAGCTCTTCTACTGGATACGGTTATGAACAGAAAGTAGACAGGCAACTTCAGTAGTCCGCAAGCTTGCTAGAGTTTATTGCTTTAGTTTTCCAGCTATCATTGGAAGCATAGCTTTATTTCTTGTGAAGAAGCATGTGTTTTTCCATGCAAGAGGGTGTTTCTAGGGCATAAGAAATAGTTATATAAATGACGATGATGGAGAATTAGAATTCCGTCAGGTGGAGAAATCAGGAGGTGAAGTTGGCCTGTGCAGGTCTTTGAGTGTCTTTCAGTTTTATCATATTAGATTTTTAGAGGTAGTTTGCAGCAGGCATTTTCCTGGATTTTTCAAATTCTAGTCAAGAAGGAGTTAGTGAGGTTTTGAATTCAGTAGTTGAAGAGAATTTGTTCATAAACAGATTTTTAAAACTATTAAAACTATCTAGTAGTTTTATAGTTAAATGGGTGTCTAGTTCCCATTTAATGGTCTAGTTTACAGATACCCTATGAACGATCCTTGTACACAGTGGAGTTTTGACTTGTGAAGAGAAAATGCCGCTTGATGACAAAGTGGGAGACAGTTTACCAGAGATTCAGCCAGTGGAGGTTGTCAGCAGCGAGGAACGTGAGCAGGAAGTGACAGTGCAGCCTCAAGTAGAAGAGAATCTGGTAAACACTGTTGTGGTAGAAGAAAAAGATTCCGGGTTAGATTGGGACGAGGCACTAGCCGTGGAAAAACTTCTAGAGGAATCCGGCCTAGAGTACAGGGTATGTGAGGATGAGTTACTAGACCTTCCGCAGGATATTGCTGACCATTTGAGAGATGTTCAGTATGTTCAAGACTGTCTTTCAGAAGAAATTCTTGTACTAGAGAAATTTCTGGATAATCTTCCAAAGGATTGATAGCAACTACCTGTAGCGTTTAGACAAAAGGTACCGAAGGGATCGGGAGTTTGCACCCGGTCTCACTACCTGTAAACGTGATGTTTTCAAAGCATTGTAAATATATATATGACGTAGTCAATATATTGAGCTTTCAGTGTGTAGTGTGTTTGTTGAGGGGCAGTGTAACCCCTGTGTGAAGGAGAAAAAAAAAAAAGAGAAGAAAAAAAAAAAAAGAGAGAAGTTTTCAAACAATTTTTGTTTGCAATTTGGTGGAAGAGGGCATCATAGGCACTGGAGGCCCACGTAAATGGAGGGCGATGGAGATCGAATCGGGATCGCGAAGCGATGCGATGTCCCGTATGTGTTGTCTTGTTTTGTGTTGTGTTTCCTTTAGACTGGAGAGTCGTTGCTAGCTGGTTGCTTGTGTTTGGATCCTCTCCAGTCTTGCTTCCTGGTGCGCGCCCGTGTAGGGGTGACGCTGATTTCCGGAGTAGTTTTACTCCTGTGTGCTGGCGATAGGGGGCTGGACTTGATCACCGGCCGGTCTATCTATGTATCTCTCACGGTGAGACTGGAGTGATGACCAGTAGACCGTGAGAGTCTTCTTGCTGTGATGACAGGTTAGGTTGCCCATACCCCTTAGCTAGTAGGGCTAGAGTAGCTCAGTGCAGCACGGCATCAGGGGCGGATTGGGTTATTGGGTGGAGATCTGGCAGTGGTGCCAGTTGAGGTCTCGTCATCACGGAGCAGTCTAGTGGTCATATTGAGGACCGCGGAGGATTTACGCGGAGTGGGTTGAGGTATCGGCTACCTTCACCTATTTCGCCAGTTGTTGCGGAGCAGGACCAGAGTGTTGCAGACATAGGGTCTTTGGTGGTGATATCGTCTAGTGTTCCCATCCCATTGATTTGGGACATGGACGGGATGTACGGGGCCGCGAAGGGCCCTCGACGTTACTCTGGTGCAGTGGGCACCATCGAGCTTGATGATTTTATTCAGGAGTTCGACACGTGGTGTGATATGCAGTTTCTGCGTAACCCCACGTTGTTTACACCCTTCTTTGCATGGAAGGGGTTATTCCAGCATTTGGAGGGGCCTTCCATGGACGATTATCATGAGTTTGGGAGAGAGTATGCCGCAGAGATTGATGCATGGAGACGGCATTGGTCTCCGAACTACTCATCCATTACCCAGGGTGGTGTGGGTACCAGTGGAGCTGCGAGTATCGGCATCAGTGGAGGTGCGAGTAGTAACATCAGCGAGATTACCAGTGGAGCAGTTGGCGCAACTGGTACTAATACCAGCAGCGGTACTGTTAGCATTGCCGGTGGCAGCACGAGACGAGATGCTAGTGGCGTACCTTCGTTTAGCCCCATTCCTGAGTTCTTCCAGAGATTGAGGAAGAATTATCAGGGGGTGAAAACGGAGAAGTTGAGGAGCCTCTAGGAGTTTGAGCGGAAGACTGGTGAGAGTCTTCGTGAGGCATACACTCGTATGCGACGGCTCATCTCAGTTACTCACGGTGTGACTGAGGCACAGGCTGTCCAGTACTGGTATCGGATCCTGGACAGAATGTTGCGGAGGAGAGTGCGTGATGCTACTCTCATGAGCGACTCATCACCCACATTAGCCCATGTGTTTGCTCTTTCTGAGAAGATTGAGCTTAACATGGTGGAGGAGAGGGTGGTGACGTCTACATTTGCGAGGGACACGACCACTACCTCGCGTATCCCACATAGCCCAGCACAGTCTCGCCCCATAAGTGGGAGTCGTGGAGGTCATACACGACATCCTTCAGGTCACAGAGAGCCTAGTGCGCTGCCACCACTGCCTTCATTTTCGGGCCAGCCACAGGGACCGTCATGTTGGACATGCGGAGGTAGCCATATGAGGAAGGATTGTCCCCAGGAGCGAGAGGGACAAACTCCACATGCTAGGCCACAGCCGGCACAGGTGGCCTGTGATCATTGTCATCGACCGGGTCACCCTCGAGAGCGTTGCTTTGACCTTCATCCTGAGTTGAGATCTGGAGGTAGAGGTCGTGGAGATGATGCTCCACGAGGCCGAGGTGGTCGAGGTGGCAGAGGTGGCAGAGGTGGTAGAGGTACTGGAACCATTGAGCGTACTGCAGCGAGTGCTACTTCCGCCACAGAGAGCGCTATGGCTGCTCGGATTGAGCAGTTGGAGCAGAGGCTTGCTGCTATGGCTGGTCTGGGGGCGAGCACTTCCACATCTTACGAGGGAGAGGATTTCTCTTATTTGGCCAATGCAGCACAGGTCGAGGCATTAGTTGCAGTAACCAGAGATGGTGCTCGCACTTCAGAGCCACGTGGTGCGACTGTGGAGTTGGACCCTCAGAGGGGTGAGGGTGGACGTCAGTCTAGACTTCCCCAGTCCTTTTTGTTGTCAGAGGTGGGTAGCAGTTCATCTATGAGACCTGCACCGCCTAGTGACACTAGAGTGAGAACTGAGGTTCTTACATCATCTGTTGTGGACGCAGCCGTGCCATCCAGTGCAGTGATGCGGATGGCCACTTCAGTCTTGCGATCTCCATTGTTTTCAGCCACGGAGTTGATAGACTCTGGTATTGATTTGGCTCGAGTATTTCGGGTAGCAGCCACGTCGTGTGAGCATGTGAGAGTCGCTGCTACGAGTGCTGAGATACGTGAGGATACAGTTGAGGACCCATCCTCAACGTCTACATTGTTCGAGGAGACGACTTGGCAGGCTGCAGCGGCGAGGATGGAGTCCTTACCAGCTCGCCCAGCCATTGATCACGAGAGTATTGTTCCTGGTGTATGTATGGTGGACAACCGAAGTGGTCTATTTCAGTTAGTGAGTTCTACTGGACAGGTGTATGTCCCAGCCAGAGTTTTGTTGGATTCTGGTGCACAGCCCTTGATGTTGGGCAAGGCTGCATGCATTAGTTTGGGCATTCGGAGGTCAGAGTTGGAACCTTGCCCATTCCAGATCCAGACATCCCTTGGTGGCGCCAGCAACAGGTCTTACTTTATGACTAGGGAGAGCATAGCGGTGCAGTTGAGGCATGATCACCCTCATGATAGCTCGCAGTTTGGAGTTCGTGCTGTGGTTACATCAGCAGAGTCATATGATGTGCTTGTTGGTGGAGTGGTGTTATACCCGATGGGCTTTCGGATGGACTATTGGACGGAGACTGCGGCATATCGTCCTGGTTGGCAGTCCGGAGATGGACGTCTGAGCGAGCTGCCAGTGAGATTTATTTCTCGGGATCGACCTCTTGGATCTTCATCAGCGGTCTTGGCATCTGTAGCGGGTTTTAGCGGAGTGCTTACCTGGCCCGATGACTTGTTGGAGGGGAACATGTCTGCCGACGATACCTCACTCTACGAGGATGTGGAGGAGGTTGTGAGTTTCACAGCGGCGGTGACTTCACCCTTAGATGTTCCACTGTGGAGTTCGTGCCAGGCACTACAGTTGGAGGCTGATAGGTTGGTGAAAAAGGCTTGGAGTGAAGCCTCTTTACCAGCAGAGCCAGACAGGGCTTCAGCTGATCGGCTAGTTAGTGGATCTAGCGCATTGTCTCCATTGATTACTACACCTATTGCATGGAAGTATTCCTCAGAGGGCGTTTGTTTGCTGGATCTTTTTGGT